ATAATATCTAGCATGTTGCTTCGTTGAATTGATTAGACCTCTTATAAAAAGAAGAATGAAGTTCGCCAGCTTGGATGTTGTCCTTTTCCCTTTTCCTTGGTTACCAGATCTATTAATCATGAAATGCATCAGTTTGCCATTGCAGATTGGAATTGCTCTTTATCTACTGTATAAACAAGTCAAGTTTGCATTTCTGTCTGGAATAGCTATAACAATTCTGCTAATACCAGGTATTAGATGACTCAGATCTTGAACATGTGCAAAATTTATTAACAATTGAAAGCTACTGTGTCTGCACTAAATATTAAGTGTTCATACGACAGAGACAACTATATGTTTTAAGTTGGTCTGATGGAAATAGGGTGTCACCGTGATACTAAGTTGATTGATAACTTGCTTATTGTTGGGGAAGTGATAAGTGATAAATACAGACTAGTTGCCACTAGAAAATCTCGTGGATGTGATTGTGCCACTACTGTCAATATTGTTCATATCCACGGTCGTCTGCATATGAGGTTTTCCTTGAGAGGTTGATGTAGGTTTAGGGCTTAGTTTAAGGAGCAATCTATATTTTTCAACTTAGATAACAAATCACCATCAGGAATAAAATCAATAGTCACTATAGTCTTAGACCTTGTCCTGCAACATATCTTCAACCTTCAAGGAAGATGATACATTTTTATTTTCAAAGGGCTTTGGTAAGTGGTTCTTGATATGTCAAGGCCTTTATACATTTAGTCAATTTTAGAGAAGGCTTGATAAGTGTTATTCTGTGCAGTTAATAAGTGGATTGCAAATGTGATTGCAAATGCTACAAAGAGCATGATGGAGCAAAAGGATGAAAGGTATGTGGCAGCAACTCTTTATAACCTTGCCGGAATTCATTTTGGTATATCACCTCATATGGGGCTATTCCTGAAATGTATGTTCATTCATCTTCTTTACCTGGTCAGTGCTATTGGAAAGATTAAGTGTATTGGTGCCAATGTTGAATAATCACAAATTTCTTTTCTAAACTTGGCAGAGAGTCTACCTGAATGTGATCAATCTCTTAACATTCTTTTGCAGTTTTTCTAGTGATCCTTGGTTGCTATAGGTTTTTTCCTGAAATTAAGTAGAGTCAATCAGTGTTGTCATTTTGCTGAAACTAAGCAACAGTTCTTCTTATCAGTTATTTTATTTTACTTGTTGTGAACTTTTTATGTTGCCTTTTCTTTCTGGAGTGTCAAGTGTTCTGTTAGCTTACAGAAATCAAAATTAATGTGTGTAGTAAGGAGAGACATATAGATACGAGCAGATAGGTTAAATATGCAACCAGACATTTAAGGCTTTTTCTTTGTTCAGATGTTAGATCATATAGCAACTAATGATACCAGATAGTTGCTGGTAGGGAAGTATTGAAACACATACATGATCAATTTTTCTCTTTACAAGGCGAGATGTCTTGGATTGTGGTGTTATCACATTATTCATATGGCTGGCATAGGAAGAATTGAACTAGAGCCCAAGGATAATTTGAAGATTGAATGTTACATGTTCCACCGGCTTAAATTCATGCTGAAGTTATAATCCAACCTGAATGCCGCATCAGTTAAAAGAACGTATTTACACATTTCATCAGCAAAAGTTTCTGGAAGTAGTGTCTTGTATGCAAGAATTAGCTTATTTCAAAATCAGATAATTTAAGAGAAGCTTTCCTTTAAGCTGATGACTTTCTATCCTTAGTTCGATGCTGTCCTCATGTTATTAGGGATGTTTATACATTATCGATCTTGTTTCTTCACAAATAAGAAACTGCTGGTTGGATTCTTTTTAGAATTAAGCTGATGCTTCTATTTGTTGAAGAAAATATTTAGAAGACGGTTTTTTTGTGTATAGTGCTTAGGGTGGGAAGGGAGAAATGTCTTGGATGAAAATCATGTCCAGATTTTTTCAATGAAGTACAAAGAAGTAATGAGTTATGTCTTTTGAGTTTTGTAATTAGCATTCCTTATATTTGTTACGATCCATTGTCCATGCCTCTTTGCAGGGTTAGAATGACAGCGGAGATTTTAACACATATACGTACTTTTAAAATGTATAGTTGGGAGCTACTTTTTGCAAGTTGGCTGATGAAGACGAGATCGGAAGAAGTGAAATACCTATCAGTGAGACAATATTCGTCATCTTTCTAGTACTTTACGCTTGATAATATGAGCCATATGACTTAAATCTTAAACTTAGAATTTTCCTGTCAGACTAGGAAATACTTGGATTCATGGTGCGTTTTCTTCTGGGCAACAACACCAACACTTTTCTCGTTGTTCACATTTGGACTCTATACTTTGATGGGCCATCAACTTGATGCAGCAACGGTACAATCAGAGAATCTAAAGTAACTTGCTTGCGCAATTTTTTAACAATCGTATGTTGCCTAATTGTTTGGTTAAAATTGCAGGTTTTCACTTGTGTCGCACTGTTTAATAACTTGATTTCTCCATTAAATTCATTCCCTTGGGTCATTAATGGGTTAATTGATGTGAGTTGTGAAAATTCTTTTGTTTGAGAAATTATCCTCCTTTATTTTATAATAATTGTTCAATCTTTTGTTTTGCAGGCTGTAATATCTTCCAGGAGGTTATGCAAGTATCTATCCTGTTTTGAGCGGGAGACAAACATGGAACAACCAAGCAATTGTTCGGTTTTCTCTTCCTCTGATAAGCAGACCGAATTGCAAGATGTGGCTGTTGTCATCCGTGATGCATCTTGCACATGGTCGTGCCGTGACCAGAAGGAAATAGATTTGGTTTTGGATCCTGTTAATCTTCTTATTCCGAAAGGTTTACTGGTTGCAGTAGTTGGAGAGGTAAAACTCTATTGCTGTTATAAATAATTTATTTTAGAGCTCTGAGCTTATCAATGTGAGAAAATTTTGACCAGCCTCATCTGACATGAAATTGGGAGTATCTTAAAGCTTTGTCCTTTTGACCGTTTACAAGCTTATGGGTTATGGGATGACATTTCATATGTTGTTGTAGAAAACACAGACTTGACTATTTAACATTTTGGATCAAGAGATATTTGATATATGTATACTTTGTCTTAGAAATGGATATATGTTTAGAATTGTTATTGCAAAGCCTCTGCTTCTTAATGGTGCAAAAGTTTGTGAAACCTGAGCTACTGAGGATACTGTATATGTATGACTCGTGCTATTTGGGTTTTTCCTTTTCACCATATCCTGTTAGATGGAGTTGGAGATATGATTATAATCTCAGAAAAGAAAATTTGAATCAATATCTCTATGATCTTTTTATACTCTTACTACCTACAGTCTACCATTGGCACCTTCTTTAGTTTAATTCACCTTAGTAACCACTTTGGTGGTTCTAACTCTACGGAAAGAAACTACGATGGTGCAATGCTGTAGTATAATAAGAAGTTATACCTCCCTTTTCCACCATAGTAATGGGTGTAGCAGAAGTGATACACTGATTTTCTTGGACGCGTAGCTTTATGTAATGATTATACTGTGCATGGTTCCTTTCCAGCAAAACTATTATTTCTCTTATAACAGATCTTTTTGCCTGCAGGTTGGGTCTGGTAAATCATCCTTGTTGAATTTGATTTTGGGGGAGACGGGGTTAATTAACGGATCTGTGTACCGGACTGGTTCAATTGCATATGTACCGCAGGTGAACAAACAGCTGGTAGTATTGATGTGTTATGTAGCACTCCTGATCTCATATTTTGCCTATCTTTTCAGGTTGCTTGGATTCTCTCAGGAACCATACGTGATAACATTTTGTTTGGGAGAGACTATGACCCAAGGAGGTCTATTTCATTTACCTTTTGACAAGGCAATAAGAATTTGTTTGGATAGTTTCATTACATCAACTTTCAGTTCTCAGTTTTGCCTTTCCAAAGTCCCAATTCTGCTATTAACCTCATTATCCATTGAGATGATATTTTTTTGTATGCCTTGGACCCTTGAAAATTCACTGTATGAAGGTTTATTGAGGAATCACTATCTAACAGAAGCTTATTGGATTTTGATGAGAGCAGATACTCGGAAGTATTACAAGCTTGTTCCTTGGACTTCGATATTTCCAGAATGATGGGAGGTGATATGGCCTCTGTTGGAGAAAAAGGATTTAACTTATCTGGTGGACAGAGAGCTCGTCTTGCACTTGCCAGGTGATGCGATTCTCTGTCTTCAAATTGCAAGGTATTTGTCTAGTGACTGAGTAAGTGAATTGTCTCATCTTCTGACAACTTTTCTGTATCTGACAGAGCCATCTATCATGACGCGGAAATTTACCTACTTGATGATATCCTCAGTGCAGTTGATGCACATGTTGGTTTTTCAATTTTACATAATGCAATTCTCGGCCCTCTGATGAGTCAGCATACACGCATCCTTTGCACACATAACTTTCAGGTTTTCCATTCACAACTTCCTTTTAGTGCTGGATATAATAGATTTTTTTTCAGGTTTCTATACCTTTATTTTAAACTCAATTCATAGTTGTTTATTCTCATACAAGACATGTAGAAATTTTAGTTTCGGTCAAAGATTATAAGGAAGAAAAAGGAGATATTTGAAAATATTGATAGAAACTTCTATTAAATAATGAGTAAGGGCAATTTTGATATAATCATTATGGAGATAATGTGATGCTATATTTTGTATATGGATATACAAGCCATTGATTTTTCGCAGCTCATTGTATTTGCAAGTGGGAGCCACCTTGCTTTCAGAAAAGACTAGTAGACATTGCTAATTGAGCTAAATGATACACGAAAATTTCCTTTCATCATGCAATGGGTTTTGTGTAGTTTTATCTTCACTTTAATAGTTTTTTTTCCTTCTATATTCAATTGAAACTGATCGAATTTATAGAACAATTGTTTCTTAATTCCAGTTTCTTAATAGAACAATTGTTTCTTAATTCCAGTTGTAGTAACAGTAATTGTTAGTTGCTGGGGTTAATTGAACTTGGCTCATTTAACAAGGATCTGTAGATTAAATGTAATATATAGTTAAATTTTACTCTAATTGTTCCCAGTGCATTTCTGGAAAATCTACACATGCAACATTATTTATCTTTTCTTTCTAATGACATGAAGTTCCACTATCCGTATGTGTGTCACAAGGTTAGTGATGTTGATTCATGCACCAAATTATGTTGTGAAGCAATTTACTACTGTATATTGGCCATTTTATCAGAAGACTAGGCAAAAGAAAATGGAAAGGCATAAAAAATTAGCAAAAGGTGTATTTCTGTTTTGTAATCTCTTGTTCAAGAAAGAACTAGAAATGCATTTATAATCAGAAAAGATGCATTAATCTCAGGTTAGAAACAAATCGAGCACATCTAACATCTTTGTTAATAAGTTAAGTCGTTGGCAACCCAGAGGACCATTCATTTACGGTATCTAAAGTAGTGCCTGTCTTCCATATAATAATCTATTCTTTTACTTTACAGGCAATATCTGCCGCAGACTTGGTAATTGTGATGGATAAAGGACGTGTGCAGTGGGTGGGGAATCCAACTGAGTTTTCTTGTTCTTCTGATGTAGTATTCTCAACAATCGATGAACTTAGCACTTGTTCTGAAGTTCAACGGCAGGATAAAAAATCAAATATTTCTAGTGAGATCCAGCAGAAAGTTTCAGAGGGTGATTTTATATGTACTCCTGGTGGAAATCAAGTGACTGATGAATCAGAGGCTCGGAAAGAAGGAAAAGTCGAACTCACTGTATACAAGTGAGTTGTTATTTTATTTTAGCATGAAAATAATTTTACAACAAAGATATCAACATTACACCTCAATCCCAAGCTAATTGTAGTTGACATAAAGATCTTCACTATCCATGTAGCTCCATTCGACTGTTTAAGGAAAGATCCTGCCTGTGATAAATTTTTCAGTTTGATGATTTCATCATTATATGACTCGCAGGAGCTATGCTGCTTTTGCTGGTTGGTTCATCACAGTTTTAACATGTCTCTCTGCGGTTTTGATGCAAGCTTCTCGTAATGGAAATGACATGTGGCTCTCGTATTGGGTTGATGCAAGTGGAAGAAACCAGAAAGCATATTCAACAAACTTTTACCTGGTAACTAACCAACTACTTAAATTGTGTAGATTCTCTCACCAAGTTATTTTCTTTCCCCAGCTTTATTATGCTTTATTTTGAGGAATGAAATAAATCATAATAAGGCTTTATTATGCTTTTTTTGAAATTAAAAGTGTCGTTGTAAGACTCTCCTAAAATGGAAGAATATTGAAGAGCTCTGTTGTTGCTCAATATATTGTTTTCTCCTACTCTTCTCCTATTATCAAGAGAAGATCTGGTTTCGAGGCGTGAGGCTTTCTTAGAACATTCCGTTGGTCCCAATCTCAAAAGTAGTAACTCGGTTTGTGAAGAAAGAATGTATTCTTTTTAGTATAATTTTCATCACCAAAGTTGGCACTAACCATATCTAGTCCCCCCCTCATTCGTTCATTCTCTCAAATGTAAAGGTGGAGTTGGAGAAGTCACCATGCCTTTCTTGGTGATATACAGCTCATGTTTACTAATATGATTGACTAATTATCAGTATGCTTGACTGTTTTATTGATGTTGCAGGCCACACTTTCTCTTTTCTGTCTGGCAAATTCCTTGCTAACTTTAGTGAGGGCATTTTCATTTGCATTTGGTGGGCTACGTGCCGCTGTTAAGGTGCATGATCGATTATTAGAGAAGCTTATAAGTGCACCTATTAGCTTCTTTGATCTGAACCCAACTGGGAGAATTATAAACAGGTATATCAGATTCACTAAGAAATTAAATGTTCTTTCTTTTGACATTATATAATATGTACTGACTGGACTATACAGATTGTCTTCAGATCTCTACACAATTGACGATTCTCTTCCCTTTATTCTCAATATTCTGCTAGCTAATTTTGTTGGCCTTTTGGGGATTGCTGTAGTTCTTTCATACGTGCAGGTATGGCTAGTTCCTTGTTTCAGAACTTTTCACGGTTTCTTTTTTGCAATTTTTTAAGTACTGCAGTCCATGTTTTGCTTGTTAGAACTTCTGATTCTAATAGGTTCTGCTTATATGCAGGTCATGTTTTTGTTTCTGTTAATGCCTTTCTGGTACATCTACAGAAAATTACAGGTATGTTCCAAAATTTCTATATATCTCACTGATTGGTAAAGTGAAGTGGTGTTTTGATCAAAGCAAAGTAATATCAGGATGATAGCAAACAATGAATGTAGATCTTTTTGTTCCTTTCGTGGTCATCTTTTCGTGCTCATTCTATGTTTTAGCATTATTGTATTCTCTTTCGGACGTGTTACTTCCATTTCTATCTCATCAACGCTTTTATGTTTTCATCATTTAGATAAGAGAAAGGATAGTAGTCACATCTCCTATCTGAACAACTTATGTTTTACGTGATATTTGATTATCATTTATTGGAATAGACACATCACTATGTAGGCTATTTATTCGTTGTAGCTTAGTGAAATTTGGTGTATCATTTCCGAAGAAACTAGATTTTTCCTTTTGTTAGATATAATGCTTGCCAAGTATGGGTATTCATAGAAAGAAATTTTACAGTATAATGCATTTATTGATCTATTTGTGCTGCTTCAAATATGAACAAATAAAAAAAATCAAAGTTTCTCTTTGAATCTCTTTTTATTTCTCTTTGGATCTTAAGCACAATCTGCGAAATCATGCTAGTGATCCACAATTGCTAGAATGTTAATAAAGGTTATTAAAATAACCTTTTTCTCAAAGTCCCAATATGAAATATTTAGATGCGGAATAATATGGAGCCCTTAGCCACTGGAATAGGTAGTTTCACTTCCATAATATGATTTATTAGAGGCTAAGACAGAATAACTGATGATAAGATCTTCAGCTGTACTACAGGTCAACATCACGTGAGTTGCGTAGACTTGACAGTGTATCTCGGTCACCTATATATGCATCTTTTACGGAGACTCTGGATGGATCATCAACAATAAGAGGCTTTAAATGCGAGGTAATTATATCCTTTTTTCAATTAAATGAGATCACTCTCGTAGGAGCATCTTTGTCTTTTCTTTCAAGAGGATATAAATTTTCATTCCTGCTAATCAGAGTTTGTGCTTTTCCATTTGTGCCCTCTTGAAAGAACTTTTGACTGCTTTACCTGGTGGGGTCAATCACATGTTTGATCGCAGGGAAGGAGTTACTTAAAGAAGTTCCTGTTGTCTAAAATTTTCCTACTAAATTCTAGTCCAGTTGCTATGCTTTTCTTCTCTTACCTTGGATTTCTGACAGTTTTAGCATGATACTACAACATACATTTAGATAAAATCTAATTCTGATAGGAGAGTGAAAACATTCGTGTTATCTTTCTTTTGAAAAAATGCATCTGTTTGACAGAACATGATCACAAGTAATTGTTCTTCCTCATGTTAGTTTTTTCTTTTATCCTGTCCTTCCCTAGTTTCAGCATATACTTATAGATATAATAGGTATCTAACACCCCTATTACATAGAGGAACAGTATGATTGCAGTGAATGTCAGAAGGCAGTACCTTAGTAATTTCCCTTGTACATCACACAATTAAGGAACATAGTTTATCCCACGCTTTATAAACCGCATCACTAAGTGCACCTTTTAGCCTCCTCTTGTTGCCAAACAGAAAGACCCATTGCTACCTTTGTGTAGTGGAAATTATCATTTTGAATGCTGTGTATTCCCGCATTTTTAAGAAGAACTCATTGTCCAACATTGGTGTTTTTCCATTCAAACAAACTATATTTTTTGGCAGTTTTTTTTTCTGCTCAAATTTAATCAGCATCTGATGACATATCAGAGGACTTCGTATTCAGAAGTAACAGCGAGTTTGTGGCTCTCCCTGCGCCTTCAGGTATGTCTTGCGCTGTCAGTACCACTTTAGTGGAACTACTTCTGATTTTTGTGTCACCATGTTCTTAAGTTTGACAATGTGAATTGTGAACTTTGGCGTGCACACATTTTCTCATTTTTGTAAGTCATATCATAATACTCAAAATTTGATATTGTCATGATTACTAGATGCTATAATTGCTACTGAAAGATTTAAATTTTCCAGTTGCTCGCAGCTTTTATCGTGTCATTCATCGCGGTGATGGCAGTTATTGGTTCTCATGGATACCTCCCCATCAGTTTAGGTACGCCAGGGTTGGTAAGTTTTAAGTGGTTCTTTTGCTCTTGACACTTTTCTGCAAAGCAATCATAATCTTCCTTGAATTTGATGTACTGATTCTATATGAACAGATTGGTTTGGCTCTCTCATATGCGGCTCCAATTGTATCTTTACTTGGAAGCTTCTTAACAAGTTTCACGGAAACAGAGAAAGAGATGGTTTCTATTGAGAGGATCTTACAGGTAACTAAATTAAAATACAATTCATAAAAAGTTTATCGCACAAGTTGAGAACTCCTTTTTACTCCCCATTCTAGTATATGGATGTTCCTCAAGAAGAAGATGTTGGAGGTCATCCGTTACATCCACAATGGCCCCATCAAGGAGAGATCAATTTTGTCAATGTGACTCTTAAGTACAAGCCACAACTGCCTCCTGCTTTGTGTGGTGTTTCTTTTGACATTGCTGGGGCAACACAGGTCTGTTTGTCTACTTTGAATATCTACCATGTCCTTTAGTTGCAAATCTGACACTTGCAAAATCACATGGCCTAAATCTATATAAGAAAGAGATGATGGTTGAAAATTAAGTTATTGTAATTTTCTTATTTTAAATAAAGACCTTTGCTTCAGGATATCTGTTGTTTGTTTACTTCTTATATCAACTCATCAGGCCAATTGTATAATTCCTTGTTTTCATTGCAATTAAAGTGAAAGTGTTTCACTGGAACTTTAGACAATCATAGTTAATCGGAACCTTGTGTGAAGATAAAGCTAATTCACTAACACTATTTGGTGCTTCCACTATCCAGATTTTCCAGTCATCAAGGGTTAGTGATGCTAATGATAGCTTTAGGAGACGTAATAGTTAACTGCGATGATGATCTAATTTGCACCATTTGCCTAGTTCATCATCCAGATTCTCCTATCCTTAAGATATCTTTAAAAAATTTAACTTTGCTATTGGAAAGTTTATTATACTTTTGTTGGCGTTTTTTGGAGAGCTCTCTAGCACTAGAACAATGTCCTGAGTCTTTTCCTTGAAGAATATCAAAATGATCAAAGGTGTCAAAGGCAAATTGTCAAGGCACAACCAGGAGGGATGGGATTCAAGTGATGTGATATTTTGTGTTTCTTTGCTTTAAGTGTTAGCTCCTCCAAACTCCAGTGATATTGAAGTTTAAGTTTGTCCTAGTATCTATCAGGTTGGTATAATTGGAAGAACAGGTGCAGGAAAATCAAGTATTTTGAACGCCATATTTCGGCTCTACCCAACATGTGGAGGATCTATCATGGTTGATGGCATAAACGTTGCTGGTGTTTCTGTCAGATATCTTCGCTCAAGATTCGCTGTTGTACCCCAGGCTTCTTTCTTGTTTGAAGGATCGATAAGGTAATTAATATAGACATGACATTACTTGCTACTTCTCTTGTGTCATATTGTCTTAGAACATTCCCTTCCTTTTTTCCTTACAGCATATGTGTATATTAATGATGATTGGTTGGCAATATGGCTTCCTTTACATGTCTGTGTAATATAAACATCTCAGGAAAAATCTAGATCCATTGCAAGAGAACATGGATTTTGAGATCTGGAATGCCCTAGAAAAATGCAACATCAAGGAGGAGGTAGAAGCAGTAGGTGGACTGGATGTTCAACTGAAAGGGTTTGGAACAGCATTCTCTGTTGGTCAAAAGCAGCTAATCTGCCTTGCACGTGCTCTCCTCAAGTCTTGTAAGGTAATATTGTAAATGGAGTTAGTGCGGAGGTGTGTACAAGAAATGGGAGAGTGCCAACAGTTTACATTTTTTCTGCAGGTACTTTGCTTGGATGAATGTACGGCAAATGTGGATACTGAAACAACTTCAAAACTACAGAAAACTCTAGCCACTGAATGCCAGGGAACAACGGTTATCACAATTGCCCATCGCATTTCCACAGTTTTGAACNTTTTTTTTTTTTTTTTTTTTTTTTTGAAAAGGTAAAATTTTATTAATCTGCAGTATCAAGAGAATACTGCAGCAGAAAAAAAACAAACACTAGACTTGGTACATCAGATCTCTATAAAATCTAACAAGTCTAGCACGTCCTGAAAATTAAAAACACAGCTTTTGAATGCATCTAAATTTCAGGACTTGAAGTTGCTCCTTTTTGCCATCAAATCATCTCCTATTTCTCTCCATCCAAATTGTCCATGCAATGCATAATGGGATGACAATCCAGGCCTCTTTCTTACACTTCCCAGCATAGATTGATTTCCAGCATCCTAACATCCTAACAAATCTCTGAACTTCTCAGGCAGGGGCGGCGGATTTAGGGGGAGCGGCCTTCGCCGGAAAATTACACTGTACATATATAAAGCAAAATCTGTTGTGTACCTCTATTTATTATATTTTGAATCCCCTTACACAGCCCAAAAACATAGCTCAGTGGTCAAGGGGGTTCAAAACCTTTGTAAGGTCACTGGTTCAATTCACACTGGCCATAATCTCTTTTAATTTTTAAATTTTTTCTCTTTTGCACCCTCTTAGCGGAAATCCTGCCTCCGCATCTCGGGCATCACACCTTGAACTCCAAAAATAGCCATAAACATGGTCCAAATCTGCCAGGTTTAATGACAATGCAGAAAAAGATGATCAACTGATTCACATGAGCTCTCAGATAGATAGCATCTGCTACAAATAATAAATCCTCTCCTTCTCAAATTGTCTTGATTCAAGCATGCTTCGTGAGCCACCATCATAGTTTATGATTCTTTGTACTAAGATTTCACGGCGAACACTCCATTCTTAATAACATTCCAACATATTGCATCTTCCTTCCCCTGACATATTTAAGTCTCCTCAGGTTAATTATTTTGTCTTATACTTATCTGGAAAGTAGGGCGACACAACGGTCACAGATATTATTCTTAATGACTTAATTCTGCCTCATCATTTTGTTATGGTTTTGTTGTCATTTATTTATTATGTTTTCCTTGCATTACCTACATCTTTAAGGCTGCTGATATGAACAACCAAATAAGTGTTGAACATTCTTCAATTGTTAAATTGCTTTCATGGTGTTAGGCTACATTAAAGATGGAAATGTTTGCAGAATGTCATCCAAATTGAGATTGATCCAGATTCTCATCTTTCCTTTTTTGGTTTCCAGGTTGAACAGGGTAACCCGCGGATTCTTCTAGAAGATCAGTCATCCATATTTTTCAGCTTCGCCAAAGCTTCAAAAATGTGATGCATCTCCGATGATGACTTAGGTTTTAGAAAACTAGTTCGGCGACTGGAAGATGTTGCATAGTAGAGCAACTATCCACCTTCAAACTTACTCTTGTTTTAATTCTAATGGTTGCTAATGTATTAATGTAGGCTGAACCAAATCTTCAAACGTGAAGTTGTTGTACAATAAAACCATTATATTAGCTCAAAATGCTGCTGGAAAAAAAACATGGTAGATGCGCAAGGTTATAACTTATATGGACTTGTGGGAATATTTATGCATGATAAGTGCCATTAAGATGTTATTGTTCACATTTTGGTAAAACTACCTCGAGTAAAAATGAAATGATACCAAACACCAAACTTAAAGATCGTCGAATAAGCATATGCTTTGCACAATTCTCATACAAACCTTCAGAGTAATTGGAAGGAATTATGCTGCTACAGTTGTGGTTGAGCAATATATAATGCACAGGCCAAACCAAAGAATATGAATATCCTATTCTTTTAATTACCATAAATGATAAAGGTTGCCAACTAAAACAACATGGAATGGTATAGCATATAGTCTCTATTAAAATTTTCCTTTTGAAGGAAAAAAGATACTATATGTTTTTTTTCCCTACATGCTTTTTGTTAGTGACTGACCAACAAATAGATACAAAGTTGGACTAATCTCCAATCTTAGTCATGACCATCCTCATCTTATAGTGGACTTCCACCCGTCAGTCATAAGTTAAATAGAAAAGAAAGTCCAAAGTTTGAGTTTTTTTTATGTGCCTGGAGCTGAGGGAAATAGAAATTCAAGATTAGCCTGCCTTAGCTATTCTTAGTGGCAGAAGAATAGTAACGAAAATTTGTAATTTATAGTACGCTTATATAGTTTGTTAACATGTAAATTTTATTTTTAAAGTTATGAAAGTTTGGTTCCCGAATTGATACTAAATACTTTTTACACTCTCACTTCAAATGTAGATGGAGGAAAATTATTCAACTATTCAGTTGTTCTTCCATCATTAGAAGCCTTTGTTGTCACTGTTCCCTAAAGGGTAAAGCATAAAGCTAAAGGCAAATGCTTGCTCGTGCATTTTTCGGTGAATACGACTAGACAATGATTTTACACCGGCTCAAAAGTTAGTTAACATTAAACGAAAAAGAGAATTTTGAAGACAAAAATGAAAGCATTGCTATGAATAGTAGCTAGCAAGAAAATAAAGCAGTATTCTCTTTGCTCTTTACTCTTTACTCTTTACCTTATTGTTGTTGAAAATGGTCCCATCAATCCTCTACCAGCAACAGGCATGCCATGTTCTTTTGCTTGCTCCCTGATATAAGTGCTAAGCACAATAAAACAATAGTGAGTTTACAACCATTATTACAGTGGCGTATGCGAGATTTTGTGCGAGCGATATAATCTATTGTTACAATTCGTCTTTTAAATGGTTTGCATATAGGGCATATATGATGTTTTAAGGTTACTGGAGGTTGCAAAATAATACTTGCTTTGTATTAAAACGTGCCGACTTTATGTGTAATTATACTTTTTTTAAAAATTAAAAAAAAAACGTATATACTTAGCTATACATATGTGTTTACCCTAAAAACGGATAACAATTGAATTCATATGTGGTTTTAAGGACATGTAATTTTACTTGACACAAGCTAAGAAAATATGCAAATTGATATTGAAATTGACTGTAAAGAAAAATAAAAGCAAATCAAATGAGATGTGCAGCTTTGGCCCTCGAACCAAATGAAATAGCAAATGAAATATGAGCAGAGTAACAGAGTATTGAGAACCTAAAGAAAAGAGTAGTATATTGCTTTTTACTGCCTTAGTCTCCCTTTACAAATGATCAGACCCCCTTTATATAGTAGGAGAGTCATACTCTTGATACAATTCTAAATACAGTAAGGACTCTCATGATAGGCTAATTAATCGGCCTCTTCTTGATACGTGTCGTGATTTCCACCGAGATTCTCCCCCTAATTGTGGCTATAACACATTTTTTGTTTCTTGGCTCGATCTTGATCCTGGCCGATCTCGATCTTGGTCGTTCTCGATCTTGATCGGTCTCTGGGTCTTTGAGCTCGATCTTGGCCGACCTCGATCTTGATCCCGGCCGATCTCGATCTTGATCGGTCTCTGGGTCTCGAGCTCGACAACATATACTTCACACCATGGATCGATATTACAGTAATGAACCTTGGACCATCATGTTCCAATCTCGATTAATAATACGAAGGGCAAAATTCGGTTTTGACCGTATACAGATAGTCCCCTCGTTTCTCGAAAAGAAGATGATGAGAAATGATATGAATTTTCGGACTCCGACTTGGTGGATGATGATGTCAGTGACGAGCCCGATTATGACGTATGTAACAAACGTCCCGTCGGTCCAGTTACCAAAGCATTAAATGCTTGTCAGTCATTGGTCGGCCACTACCGGTTCTGAACCGTCATCACCAGGTTATAAATATTCACACTTTCATCCTCATCCAAACTTTTCACTCAAAAGCTTTTTATCTACTCTTGCATCTTCTTCAAAAAATCCCTTTGCTTCATACATTTTACATCGCATACAACCCTAATTCTCATTCCCTTTATTCATCAATGGCGAAAACCTCCAAAGCAGTGCCGCAAAAAGAGGTCACTTCTTCATCACGACCCGCCGACGGAGAGGATGCGGCGGAGCCTCGCCCTGAGGAATTCGTTCTGGTAGGGTGCTCAACTGTCATCAATTTTAAGGTTGAAAAACCTTCTTCGGTACCGGACCGATATGAGCCGATCTCGAGGTACCATTGTTCAATCACCGAAAAAATTCTCGATAAAGTAAAACAGGAATGCAACTGGGGTGACAAGCACGTGGTAGTCCCATCGCCTGAAGAATCAATTACTACCCATGTGGAAGGGTTCTTAAGTTTTTTTACTTATTCTTTCACGTTGGGTTCATTAGACCATGTCATCGTCGCCTTTTGCAAGAGATACGACGTGACCCTTGGCCAAATCCACCCTTCTTTTTGGAGAATAGTGATTCTTCTTCGATTTTTCTCAAGAAAAATTGAGGGGTGTCTTTTCACCCTCGATCACCTTATGCGCCTTTATAGCCCCGACTCTATCGAGGAGGGTTAATCAAGCTTGCTTGCCGAGCCACCAAAGCATTGTTCTCGAGTATAGATGAGACTCGTGATCGAGGTTGGATGGGCCGATTTGTTCGAGTCAGAACCTCGGACCTGATCCCTGCCGATGACATGCCATTTCCCTTCGAGCGCTTTAATTTGTGACTGCCTTTCATTTTCTTGATCCACTTTTTCTTTCTTATTACAGCTGTGGCTCGGATGCCGAAACCGATTCCGGGTCTTAAACAATGGGTTGAAGGTTTGGTGTTGCAGAGACCGTACTCCGAGCGTGCTTGGGTGGAACTATCAAAGGGTCGATGGGAGGTTCGCAGTCATAGTAACTCTTTCTTAGTTTGTTTGTCATTTGTTCTTCTTCACTCGCTTACCCCAATTTTTCCCTTTGTAGGACTTGGGAAGGATGTTGCCATGAGGCCCACATCTGGTGATGAAGAGGTCCCTGTCCCAAAGCAGGTTAAAGAGAAGAAGATAAAAGATGCACCGAGTTCCCCGATCTCGGAAAAGAAAAAACCGGCGAAGAAATCTCGCAAGCCCAAGGGGGGCTCCGGTATCATGCCTCCGAACTCGATCCGCCGATTAAGGGATGAGCCCGAAGAAGGAGAAGAGGAATTGGCCTGTGTACGAGCTAATGTTGTGATACAACAATCCTCCGAATCGGCGGAGGTAGATAAGGGAACCCTAGCCATAATTCCTGAACAAGGAAAAACTGAGATTATCTCGTCTCGAGCTGAGATGGTTGAAGGGGAGACTGAGGGCAAGACTTCTCGGGCAGCAAAAGATATCTTGAGGGACGAGCTCGAGGTAATGTACATTAGCGGATCCCCTCAGATTTCGGATGCTATAATTCGTGAGGCCAACATGTTTGAAGGTCGATCTTACGAGGGTATTCGAGAGTCGAATGACATCCACGACTTTCTGGATGGGCTCGAGTCAGCTGCCTCGGAGGAGATTATCCGGTTCGGTGGATTACCGGTACTGAAGAAAGCATCATGGTCGGGCTCTACCGGGTCTTCATCGGTTCCAAAACTGGTGGACCGATTCCCGGCCCCGAGTGTTAATCCCGATCGTAAGCGGAAGATAGTGCTCTCTGTCCCGGAGGATGCCCGAATTTTCTCTCCCCTTGTGGGGATTGCTAGTTACCTTCGATCCTTGGTGACCGAAGAGGATCAAACCGTGATGAATGCGGTAGGACTCGCTTGCCTTTTCAACGAGGCTCAACATACTCTGAATCGGGTAATTTCGATGGTATCTCTGTCGTTTCTTTTACACTTAGAGTTGTAGATAATTCTAACATCTTTTTCCATGTCTGTAGGCTTCGGTATTGCATCACGAGGCTTTCTTCCGAATCCGAGAGGAGCATGGGGCCGAAGGTCGGAACCTCACTGAGAAGAGTGACTCCTACAAACTTCTTAGTGAGAAGCTTCGGGTAGATTTGGTAACGGATCGAGATGAGCACGAGGAAATGGATGAGCAGGTATTCCGAATTCTTCACGACAATGAAGATGAATTGGAGATAACCACTAACGATCCAATTCTGCAGGTTCGGCATAGGCTCGAACAGATTGGACGGCTAAATTCGCAAGTAGATGAGCTACTGGCCTAGGCGGAAAAATTCAAAGAGAATATGAACGTCCTTGCCTCAAAAAAAGAGGTCGTCCAAGCGCAATTGGAGTTGGCTGAGACCCAGATTCGGGCTGCAGAAGAAAATTAAGGAGCTTCAGCATCGATTGGATTTGGCCATTTCTGATAAGGCAGGCTTGGCTGATGAACTCGAAGTGGCCAGATCCGAGGTGGCCGAGGCCATTAAAAGAGTTGATGATAAAGTGGCCCAGTTCAGGATCGATGTTGAGGTCAACGAGGTCAAGGCCAAGAGCATGGTCG